AACTTTTATAATAAATCTTTTCCAATAATAAATTTAAATAGTCCAATGTAGCATGGTACGATCAACATTTTCACTAAATTAATCACTGAAGTTTGACTGAGATTCTTTGAAAATTTCAACACTCAGAAATCTAGTGTATTGTACCATTTTAATGTTTAATAGGAGTAGATGATAATAAACGTAAAAAAAATCACATGTTCTTTGCTTTTTCTCCTTTTTTGGCGGGGAGGGGGTAATGTTTTAAATATATATATATTTTGAATGTCATTTGAATGTATTTTGATTGTAAACTTATGGGATACTCAGCATTTTCGGTTAAGTAAACACTGATGATTGCTTGCCTTCTGTAGAAAAATACAATTCACTGGAATGAAATGTAAGGTCTAGAGCAAATGTAATTCTAAACTTTGAAACGACTTCATTATATATCACACATATGAATAAGTATTCCATGATGCATTTTTTTAAATAAATTTTTTAGTTTCTAATGTAGCATTACTTTAAAAATAACATTTTCACCGAATTAAAGATTTAGATTTGACTATCATTTTTTGAGATATTAAAGACTCAGAAGCAAAGAGTAAGATTCAGTTTCAAAACATGGCAAAAATAGTATACATATAACACAAAAAATTAAATTGTTCGTTATGTAAATCTTTTAATTGTACATTGTAACCTTATTCTTGCATTTTTTAAATAAAAGTTTTAGTATTTTATGTAGTATTACTTTGAAAACAACCTTATGCTTGCATTTTTTGAATAAAAGTTTTAGTATCTAATGTAGCAATACTTTGAAAACAACATTTTCATCAAATTAAACATTTAAACTTGACTATCATTTTTTGAGAAATTAAAAACTCAGGAGCAAAGAGTAAGATACAATTTCAAAATATGATTCAAAACGAACATATTTGGCACAAAAAATAAAATTTTTATACGTGTAAATTTTGAAATGTTCGTTGTAACCTTATAGGAATTTCAATATGCCCAGCTAAGTAAGCATTTATGTTTGACTACCATTTTTAGAAAAATTTCAGACTGAGAACTGTAGATTGTGGTAACACTTTAATCTTTGACATGAACAGGTGATTTTTAACACAGTTGAAAATTTTTTCCATTGTTCAATTTTTTAAAGTGTTCATTGCATTATTTAAATGAAAGCCAGCTTTTTCACCTAGGTAAATTCATAAATTTTTTAAATGTCCATTGTAGCATGAAATGAAAGGCAGCATTTCCACCAAATTGAATACTTATGAATCCGTTATATTTTGATTTTGAGCATCACGACTTATAAATAGTTAAAATGTAAAAATAAAAGACTTTATAAACACGAAATACTTTAAAATATTGGTGAAATTAAAAATATTGGAGAAATTTTTACTCTGCTTTTTTACTATCAGTGGAAAAAGAGCTGCAAAAAGATAATATAAAAAGATTTTGTGAAAATGCAGATTTTGCTGAAAAGCAAAATCTATTCCAAGTATAACTAATAGATAATATAAAAAGATTCTGTAAAAATAAAAATTTTCCTGAAGAGCAAAATCTATTTAAATTTCAAATAGATCATATAAAAAGATTCTGTAAAAGTACACATTTTGCTGAACAGCAAAATCAGTTCCAAGTTAAACTTAAAGTACAAATGAGTAGTTGACCATTTATTGCTGTGCAATTATGTCTATTTAGACGGTTATCATAGAATTCCCTTTGAAATGTTTGTGAATGTATAATGTTTGTGAATGCATAAAAATAAAGGCAATTTATTTTATGAATAAGTTTTATTAACAGGTATATAGATATAAGATATATAAAGTGGATACAAAATATAAAATCCACAAAAGGTAATTCACAAAAATAATGCTCTGTTTTGTTTAAAACTCTAAATATAGCCTTTGTTAATAAGCATATTTTGTTTTTACAATATATTAAGTCAAATAACCTTTGGATTTTAAAAAAATTAAATAAAAGTTTTGCAATGTAACTAATATAAATATAATCATTGCATTATCACAAACTAAATTTTTTACTTTATATTAACCCTGGCCTTTAAACCCAACATTAATACTTTGCAGTCTCGAGTTTCTGCTGCAATTTGAAAAATTGTGTACAATTTCTTTTCATTAGTATGAGTTATTATTATTATAATCCACTGCATTACCTTCTATAATATTCATACCTGGTACAACTGCTCCTAAAGGTTCACCTTCAACTGATGACTCACGAACAGATTCATCAATTGTTGCAGATTCATACGTTGGTAAAGGATAATAATTTGATCCGTTGGGCAGAACATTTCTAGTAGACATTTCATAAGATGGGGGGCTGTCGTCAATGGAGTGGTAAGGTGGAAAAATGTTAATTACTGCGGTTTCTTCTGATGTTACACTATCATTTACGGTTGATACCTTTCCAGAAAACTGTTGCTGATGAAGTTGACTTCCGAGAAGTAAATTTTGATAATAAAAGCGTGTTGCACGTGATAATATCATTTCACTTTTCACTTTACGTGCAATAGGTAGCAATACTACACACAGCTGAAAATTGAAATTTTTTTACATTAGAGAGAGCTGAAATCAACGGCTTCTTACTAAATATTTAAAGTTTCAGGAAAAATTTACTGCTTTCTCCTAATTATTTAAAGTGGTAGGAAAATGTACGAGGAATTTACGACTTTTTCTTAAATATTGAAAGTGGTTGCGTTCAAAATTCTAGGACTCTTTTTCTTAAATATTTAACCTTTTGACGCAGTTGGGACACAGGTGTCCCTTTTATATATTTTTTTTTCTGTCTCTCTAATTACGAGTAAAAATATATTTTGATGAATTTTAATTATAAGAAACAGTTTAATCGATACTCATTTTTTTAAGATTATATTAATTATATTTCTTCTAAAATATATCATCCTAAAAAAATCCTTTATTTTTTTCCATTCATATTTAAAAAATCATGTGATTGATTTTTTGAACTAAAGAAATTTCAATGATGAATAACTGCTTCTCTTAGATTGAAATAACNGACTCTTTAATTACGAGTAAAAATATATTTTGATGAATTTTAATTATAAGAAACAGTTTAATCGATACTCATTTTTTTAAGATTATATTAATTATATTTCTTCTAAAATATATCATCCTAAAAAAATCCTTTATTTTTTTCCAGTCATATTTAAAAAATCATTTGATTGATTTTTTGAACTGAAGGAATTTCAATGATGAATAACTGCTTCTCTTAGATTGAAATTTTTTTTTACATATTTTTATATTAAATTAATACAAAATACAATAAAAATAATACAAACTTTGTGTTTATGCAACTTTTTCTGTCTAATTACCGTAATCAGTAAATCAATAAGAAATACTATCATTATAATTATATAATCAATTTTTTTTCTTCGCTTTGAAATTTAAATTTTCCTTTTTTAATTTTAATTTCCTTTCCTTTCCTTGTTTTCTTTGTATTTTGATTATTTTATGGATTCTATGTACTTGCAGCTTATGAGCAGTTAATAAAATGTAATAAATCTTAAATTCTTAAATTTTCCTTGAATTTTCTCTTTTCTTTCATTCTTAATTATCTACTAATTTTCTGATGTTATAACTGAAATTAAATATTTGAAGAAAAATGTAAATCAAGTTATAATATGTGTCCAAAAATCAGTTAAAACAGCAACACACAAAATATAAAGAACACAATAAAATGAAGAACGGTATAAAAGGAGGAATGCACGGTTATGATAAATTTCATTCACGCATTTTGTGAAATGTTAGTCTCCTTGGTCAGTTTATTTCCGCTTTACGACGTGTTGTTTTTGCACTGATCAGAACTAAGTTATTTATCGAAAATGCCCACTGGAATCAGATTATAATTTTAAATGCATTTTTTACCTTTGATGCATTATTTTAATGATACGATAAAGAAAAAAAAGGACAATGAGGCTCTATCCGAAGATGGTTTAATGTATACTGTTATTAAAAAATGTTGCGTTCTTATCAATTATCCTTATAATTTTCTGATCAAATTGTTTTGATCAAATTTGTGTAGCAATTTTTCCAAAATTATTTACGATATTTTTTGTGCTGTCACAATCGATATATGTTGTAATGTATATCGATAATGTCAATCTATCGATATATGTTTCCTTCGATACCCTTTCTTCATTTGTCGTTACACCCAAAGTTTGTCTGCTTTATATAAAATTTTCATCTGCTTTTGGTTGTACTTTAATTTTAATTTAATACTCAAACTGGTACTTTTATGCAATTTAAAATTGGATGCTTTATTATATTCACCGTTTTTTTATAATGTTGGCGAAACAAAAATTTACTTAACGATTTCGAATAAAAATAAAGAAATATTCCATGTCAGTGTAGGAGTCGTTTTTGCTAGCTGGTGATAAAATACCATAAATTATAGTGTTCATAATTCGATTTTGTGGTGCTGTTTCAGTGGGGTCTGGTGATAATATATAAAGGGTTTCTCAATTTCAACTCATAATACATACTTTGAAAATCCTTGTGGAATTAAAGATCGCTAAGAATATGCTTTGGAGGTAACAGTTTAATATTTATGCGAGAAAAATGAAATAAAACCGTTATCTAACGCTAATGAATCACTTAAAATTATGCATTGACAACATCAAAATTTAAATACACAAGTGGGCGACCTTTGTGCTAAAATACAAACTAAGGTAGACAACGTTAAAGAGCACAAAAATATTATTAAAAGCAGACAGCTGTTTCGAATGCTCCAACCTTCATCAGTGCAACAGTTGCACTGATGAAGGTTGCCCTTTGAGCATTCGAAACAGCTGTCTGCTTTTAATAATATTTTTGCGCTCTTTAAAGTTGTCTACCTTAGTTTGTAACATCAAAATTTGCTTGATTCTAATACTAATCACCTTTCTCCCGCTATCTGTTATCTCCAAATTAATAAAAAAGGTTTTAATGTTTGAAAGCGTGTCTTTCTATAAAGTGATTTGATATATTACAATGTTTTCTTTTCAGCACTCAAATAATAACTTGTGGCTCCTAATGTGTATGACTTTATTTTTGACAAGGATTATAAAAAGACATCAAGTGTGATGATTGTGAAACACCTAGAATAATATATTTTTTTACCGCAAAAAAAAAGAAGCTTTTTGTTGATAGAAAACACTTCTTACCATATGTAAACCCACTACTGAATAATAGAGGATGAGAAAAGCTGGAATGTAAAGAATGAGGTTTGACTTTCCAAAATAGATATCCAAAACTTTCGAAGAAGCCAAATAAATGAGGAACGCAGAAACACCAAGCATTCCCAGAAATAAGACCAACGGACAAAAAATTTCATTCTTAACTCTTCCATTATTATGAATCTGAAAATAAAAGACATAGTTTTTACAGGGTAGCTCATTACAGGTGGTTATAAACATGGAAGAGAACACATCAGGAGGAGTGAGAATTGCCAGGCAATCAATGTTTCAAAAATGTTAAAATACTCCCTTCGGGGCACTTTTCTTTTATAGACTCGTAAGTTTTTAAACTGGTACTTATCTAAATCAAATCATCTTTATTTGATGTAAGTTTTATATTTATTAGAGTCAAAAGTTGCATTCAAACTTGCACAGAAATGGCTGTTATAGCGCAATTGACTGATTTGGTGATCAACTTGGCGAGCTTGTGAAGTTCATAATAGGGAAGCGCCCTTAACGGCATGCGATGATATTTTCAGACATGGAATGGTATACATTTCTCAAACCTTATGATGCGTCCACTCTAAGTCTGTAATCTCTGTACTCAACCCTAATGGTATATTTTTTGATTTATTGAACAGTCCTAAATAAATATGTTCAAAAGTTGGAGTATTTTCAGATCTAGTCGATCAGCAATATAATTATTGGCCAAAGTTTAGTAATATTTGATATGTACGGTTCTAAAAATCATGAAAATCCTGAATAGTTTTTGATTTAACTATCAGATTCTTACGTTCTAAGACTCGGTGGCCGGGATAGCCGGACTGATAGGGCGTTGGGTCTATCAGTCAGGATGTCTGATGTCTGAGAGGTCTTGGGCTTGATTCCCATCGGCTGAAGGCAAGACTCCCTGTATACAAAATGGTGACTTGTGCATGCTAATCCTGTCGGGGGATCCTTCAAGTTCCCTTAACAAATCAATACCTCTGGTGATACTAGATCGGAGATTGATCGTGCTTTGGGTTAGGTCAGAAGTACGATCTGTGGATGGATGATTAGTGTGTGAACGTGTCCACCCTTGGAAACGGGGTGTGACTTATGTATGTTGTCTCCGGGTCATCCTCAATAGCCCATTGTGCAGCTCTAGTGCGACGTAAATACAGTACTAAGACTCAATCTTAATGGTTAGTGGTTCAAATGCCTAACTTTAAATATGTTAATTAGCTAGTTCGAGCCGTGATGGATCAGGGGATAAAGCATTCGCCCTCCAATGAGGTGAATCGGATTTGAATCCCAGCGGTGGCTGGTCGTTGCGAATTCCGCATTCGGCTTGCACCGACCACAGCGCTGACGTAAAATATCATCAGTGGTAGACAGATCATGGGTTAGAGTCCCCTTGCCGTCAGGCTAACCATCGGAGATTTTCGTGGTTTTCATCGCCATGTAACGTAAATGCAGGTTAGTTTCATCAAAAAGTCCTCGATGGAGGCAAATTTCGACCAACACTTGATCCATGAGTTCCCTTGTTTTCTGGGTTGGGTTCAAAATTACAAGGCTACTGAGTTGAACATTTAGGTCGTAGACTTAAAACTGGGCCAGCTGTTCAGCGACGTTTATAAAATAAAAATTAGCTATTGCAGATTTTTTTTCAAGCTACGAAATTAGACATCTCTGAATATGCATAAATTTTTTTTGTTGGATTTAGATTGCTATTTATCAAAGTATGGGGATTGTCGCTGTTTGGTCAAAAAAGAACACCCCTTTATGTGAATTTCACTTTTACGTATTTCACCCTATCTCAAGAAAATTTAATCGAATCGAAAAGTTATGCACACAATTACAAAATATCTTTGTTAAGTGATAATTCGAGAGCAAAAAATAATTTTTAATAGTAATTTTTTATTATTTTATTTTATAATAGGTGAAAATTTTATAAATTGTTAGGAAAAATTTTCAATTCGTTGTTGTTTTAAAATTATCGTTAATGTTATAGCAAATAGCAAAATATAAAATTACTTCGTAATCTGTTAAATAGTGTCTGAGTGAGTTGACAATAAAAGTTGAGACAATAAAGTTGAGTTGACAATAAAATTAAACGTTGTATATTAAAAGTTGTATATTTAAAATTTGGTTAAAAATTAATCTAACCGCTTTTGCTCCAATTTTATGTTTTGCCTTGTGAAATTACAATCTTTAAAATAATGTGAAAAATTGTATAGCTCAAAATTAAAATTTTTTTTAAATTTTCCAAGCTTTCTACTCAAAATTTAAATTTTTAAATTTTTTAAATAGAATAATAATAAATTCTAATAAAAAATTCTTTTGTGCATGGAATTATCTTTGGATAAAGGAGTTTTACACTTGTGTGGAAAATTTTATAATTTGCCTAATAAAATTACAATCTTTAAAATAATGTAAAAAATTGTATAGCTCAAAATTCAAATTTTTTTCAAATTTTCAAAATTTTCTGTTCAAACTTTAAAATTTTTTTTTAAATGGCATATTAATAAATTCTAATAAAAAATTCTTTTGTGCATGGAATTATCTGGAAAAGTTTTATAATTCGCCTTAGAAGTACATATAAAATTACAATCTTTAAAATAAAGTAAAAAATTGTATAGCTCAAAATTCAGATTTTTTTCAAATTTTTCAATTTTTTTTATTTTTTAAATAGAATGATAATAAATTCTAATGAAAAATTCTTTTGTGCAGGGAATTATCTTCGGATAAAGGAGTTTTACACTTGTGTGGAAAATTTTTATAATTTGAGCTAGAAGTACATATAAAATTACAATCTTTAAAATAGTGTATAAAATTGTATAGCTCAGAATTAAAATTTTTTTCAAATTTTCAAAATTTTTTATTCAAAATTTAAAATTTTCTATTTTTTAAATAGAATAATAATAAATTCTAATGAAAAATTCTTTTGTGCATGGAATTATCTTTGGATAAAGGAGTTTTACACTTATGTGGAAAATTTTTATAATTTGCCTTAGAAGTACACATAAAATTACAATCTTTAAAATAATGTAAAAAATTGTATAGCTCCAAATTCAACTTTTTTTCAAATTTTCAAAATTTTTCATGCAAAATTTAAAATTTTTTATTTTTTAAATAGAATAATAATAAATTCTAGTAAAAAATTATTTTGTGCATGGAATTATCTTTGGATAAAGGAGTTTTACACTTGTGTGGAAAATTTGTATAATTTGCCTTAGAAGTACATATAAAATTACAATCTTTAAAATAGTGTAAAAAGTTGTATAGCTCAAAATTCAAATTATTTTCAAATTTTCAAAATTTTTTATTCAAAATTTAAAATTTTTTATTTTTTAAATAGAATAATAATAAATTCTAATTAAAAATTCTTTGGTGCATGGAATTATCTTTGGATAAAGGAGTTTTACACCTGTGTGGAAAATTTTTATAATTTGCCTTTATAATATAAAATTACAATCTTTAAAATAATGTAAAAAATTTTATATCTCAAAATTCAAATTTTTTTCTAATTTTCAAAATTGTTTATTCAACACTATTTTACTACCAAAAACATTTGAGATGTTTATTCTAATGTATTAGACATACGCCAATACCAAAGGTAATTTTCCAAGTTCAAAATTTATCAAATGGCTGTGAACTTGAAACAGTATACTCTATACAGTATGCAGTACTCTTTTTTTTGTGCATAATTTCAAAAGTGATGCGTAGGGTGAAATTTGAGATAGAAACACAAGCTTGAAATAACCAAATTTTTCAGAATATTAGAAAATATTAAAAATAATTCCATATTTAATAATAACAAAATATACATAAATTGCATTTTTGACAAAGAGTGCGACAATCGGTTGTCAATTGGGCAAAAAAGTCTATAATTGACATAACTAATATTTAGTCAGGATCGTTAATTTTTTCTTATACAAATAATTATGCATATATAAAAGTGCATTATGAGGATATAAATAAAAGAAGAGAAAATAAAGTAAGAAAGAAATTTTTAATAATAAGTACTTACCGCAGAGCAAAACTTTCGAATAAATTCGCAGCGAAAATATTCCATATCGATATTTACTATCCCAAAAAGTCCACTAAAGAACAAAATTTAAATATGAACTTCACCTTCAAAGGTTTGATTGATAATGAGTCAAACAAATGTCCGCAGCATATTTATATACTTACGCGATTATGCAATTATACTTCGAAAAAATGATTTCCGGATCTCAAATATTATTTTTTTAACTGGAATGTATGAATAAAAATAAGTAAAAGAAGCGCTTTCCCACGGTTTTGAATATTACTTTCTTACATTAAAAGCATTTCATTTTATTTCTCTCTCAAATATAATTTTTTTTTTAAAAAAGCGAAAGTTTCATGAAATCATAAATTATTTAGGAACCAAGCTTCTCTAATCTTGACATCTTTTTTTAGAATATTTTCTTCTAAACTTTAAGCAAACAGAATAATATATTTGATCTTCGAAATGAACATTTCTCATAATGCTTGCAATTACTATTTCAATATTAATCTCTTTTTTAAATCGGAAAAGATAATTAAAAATTAATTAATTATAAAACGGACTAAACAATTTCTTACAATTCTTTTTATTCAAAATTTTTGCAAGATTTTATTTTATAATATATTTGATCTTCGAAATGAACATTTCTCACCATGCTTGTAAGTACTATTTAAATATTATTCTCTTTTTTAAATCATAAAAGGTAATTAAAAATTAATTAATTATGAGACGGACTAAACAATTTCTTACAATTCTTTTTATTCAAAATTCTTGCAAGATTTTATTTAATAATATATTAGATCTTCGAAATGAACGTTTCTCATCATGCTTGTAAGTACTATTTCAATATTATTTTATTTTTTAAATCGGAAAATATAATTAAAAATTAATTAATTATGAAACTGACTAAGCAATTTCTTACAATTCTTCTTATTCAAAATGTTTGCAAGATTTTATTTAATAATATATTTGATCTTCGAAATGAACATTTCTCATAATTCTTGTAAGTACTATTTCACTATTATTTTCTTTTTTAAATCGGAAAAGATAATTAAAAATTAATTATGAAACGGACTAAAAAATTTCTTACAATCCTTTTTATTTAAAATTTTTGCCAGATTTTATTTTGATGCTCGTTTTAAATATTTCAATGTATTTTTAAGTATAATTTATTTTGAAAAAGATGAAAAATATAATGGTTGTTTTAATTAGATAG